CATTACCACCATTTTTCATAGATTATCTAGCTTCATTGCAAGCAGCTTTTCTTGATGCTCAAGGTACCTTCTCTTTTGCAGCCCATTATGTCTAATCACACCCTCTTGCAAAGGCTAAGAGATTATGTTTCTTGAGTAATCATCCTGAAATCAATGGAGTCTTTGCTTCTCAGATGATCGATATTAAGTATTTTTAATAATTCCTCATAAATCAATCACTTTGGTCTCCTAATCAACTCTTTTCATTCCCTCAGAAACCTTCCAAGGGCAAGCACCTTACAATTATGCCAGGGAGCCAAATATGCATCCAGACTGCATATGCAAAGCCTGTTATTCTCCCATTCGTAACTGGGATATCATGGCCCACTGTGCTGTCCAGACAACTGCTGCACTGCAGCAGCCACGGCCAAGCCCAGGCCCTTGGTTTGCTCCAGCCCTGCGACTGCAGGTGCCCTTTCACACCCAACACACACATTAACCTACCCACCATTTTCTTCTCTTTCCAACCCTCAGTCTCCTCAGGCTGCTCTGCATCGTCGGTGTGTCTGCACAGCGACACTCAATAACTGCAGGCACACAAGTTTCACACATGAAAAGGTAAAACTCACCAATCTTTTCTGATGCCTTTCATGGTCCCTTTCACATTCCTTCCCCAGTTGCCATCATCCTAGCTTCTACATCTCACTACCCCTAAGCAGAAACAGGTTTTACTCTTGCTCAGGAAATGCATCACCACCTTTCCCAGAAGAGCTGCTACTTTGTCTGCTCGCACAAGCAACATAAAGGTACTTCTATGGCGATACCCAGTATCTTTGGGATCACAACTGTGCCCCCATCCACTTGTCAGCCTCCCAGCAGATTGAATTTCAGCCTAAGCAACACAAAGGAGTATATTGTGACTATCTGATGGGCAGAAAGGAATTTGCACTTTACCGTTTCTGGGAGTTTTCAAGATGTTGCAGGGTAATGCGACAGAAAGTAAACATCTTCAAGTGAAAATATCTCAGAATTAAATTGACATCCCTTTTGTTTTCAGAACCATTCTTCATTTCAGATCCACAGTCATTAAAAGAAACAATCTTCAAGTCAATTGTGTGAGCAGAGGAATGCCCAGCACCACTGTGTGGCGTTTTCAGTTAGCTGTCAGGTTTTATTCAGTATTCTGCACTGGTCCTACAGCTTGGTTCTCCTGGAAATTTTAAATGCAAATGTATTTCCAGGATGACCTGAGAGAACAATATCAGAATTTTACCTCACATGACAGTTCCTCACTCAGTTTTATTCAACTCCCTTTTCCTCATTTCCATATACACAGATTTGCTGCTACTAAAAAAAAAAAAAAAAAAAAAAAAAAAAAAAAAGCTTAAACAAGAAAATCTTCACCTACTATTTTCTCCTGTTGAAAGACTTTCCCTCACTCTTCTGTTTAAAGAAACCTAAACCACAGCTTAAATAATGCTTTAAAATTGCCTAGAGCTCCAACTTGAGACACAGAGCAGGCAAGAAATTTCTTTAATAGCAGGGAATAAAAGCTCCTAATTCAAATCATGTCCATGCATTATTTTCCAACGTCCAAGGGCTAAATACGCACTAGCTATCACTCTTTTAGCGACACCTCAAACTCACCGGTCTTATCCTGGGAAACTCGGGGAGAGCAAACACGGATGTGCTGCTGGACAAGCACGTGTGATCTTGTTCTCTTCTTTGTGCTCAGTGTCAATGACTCACGGGCCACAGATGTAAGCAGATTATCACCAGCTCTCATAATTCAACAGTTCCTTGAGAGGCTGTGACAGAGGCAAATTTTTCACTGACCTTTTTATGAAGGCATTTATTGAGCAGTGACATTGAACCAGTTCAAACAATGTTAAATAACCAGAATCAGACCTAATGGTTCTCTCTGGTGCAAAGATGTTGCTGCCCTTGTGTGAGACCAGCCACTCATGTAAATGGAGGCACAACCTCAATGCAGCTCAGCAGTTTGAGCTACATGGAATCAGAACACATTCTAGAAATTGCACTGCCTCCATGGTGCAGCAAAACGTGCTCCAATTTTCACTTTAAAGAACAGCTTGCTTTTTGATTTGCACTTGTGATTTATTATCAAACACACACACAAAAGTGATACTTTAGAGGAAAATAAAGAAGTAGGCCACGTCAGCAAGCATGAATGATCTGAGCCTCCAGCTCTGGACCAGTCTATCAAGATGCAGTTAATATACATATTTAACTCTACTGTTGAAAGAGGAAATACTATTTTTAGACATTACCTATTACTTTTGTTCAGAGATTAAGTGCCACATACTATTACTGTATTTACAGAGATGTTCATCAATCCCGACAGCTTCTACATTACAAAAAAAGTTAATTAAAGCAATTTTACTGGCGTGCCTTATTGTGGCTATCTTTTACAACTGTAATTCTGTCTGTTACACAAATTAAATAGAAGTGCCTCCAGAATGGAAGTGGTAGGAGTTATGACTGCAACCCAAGGATCAGATTTTTTTAAGTGCTCAGGGTGTGATTTTCTTATGCATTGAAGATAGAGAATCTGGCTTACAATAGACACATTTCCCTCACTGTCTCCCAAAGCACACTGGATATAAAAGTTTGAATACTGAAAAGAAAGACCTGAAAATCTAGCCATTAACTCTGGAACCTAAATACAAGTTAGGAGTATTCAAAATATGGCTATGTCTTGGGTGATGAGTAAGTACTTCTGGAAATTCCTCTTACACTCTGTCTGCTCTGCAATGTCTTTTTTACTGAGTTCCACTGGGACTGTGTCTTAATTCCATATTCCTTCCATAGTTTTCCCCTAATTAGATTATTAACAAGAAACAGTGAGATGAAGCATGAAGTCACTCAATCAACGATGTAAGTTATAGATATGAAATCCCTGTCAATACATATTTCATAATAAGCCACTTATCGCTAGTCTACCACAGAGGAACTAGATTTATACACTGTATTCACCTGACTCCTAGAATGAATTTTTAGCTCTGCTTTGGCTGCGGGAGAAGTTAGAGACAAAGAACAGTTTTGCCAGGCAGTACCACAGCTCTACATTCAAATACGTAGGAGACGTCAAGTCTCACTATAACTGGCCTGTAGTGAACTATTCCTTTAACTGAAGTTGTAAGAAAGCTGCCTAATCATCACCTAATAATCGTCTTTTCCTAAGAGCTAACAGGTGCAACAGACAGAAGAAATTATAAGAATTTATTTTAAACGAAGCATCAAAATTTAGCTTTAGACCTATCTTCTATTATTCATCAACGTGCTAGTAAATAGAAAACATAATTGTTTCCTGCAATCTACCATGACTTGCTCACAAGCATTTCAACTGGAAATGATAAGCATTAGGAAAGCTAAACAATTTCCTTTAACCTTTTTTAAAGGCTGTTCACTCTTGTTGCTTCTGCAATATCAAAACACAGGCAGACATCCAGCCTAGTGCATTCCTGAAGAACACGAAGACACCCGACCTTTACCAATGATCGCTTACGAGCTGCCAAAACTAACAGCGACCGCACACACACACCGAAAGGGACAAGCCCATCTCCTGCACGAGCCATCGGAGACTCAGGCATTTCAGGGAGAAAACATGCAAAATCATTCTGCAAAAAATATTCTACTCATACATGGAGGTCTTACTTGTGTAAATAAAGCTTACAGCAGTCGGACCACAGGAATCACATTTACAGCCAACTCCAGTTACCTGAGATCGCTACTGCAGACGGGAAGAGAAGGAGAGCAGCGTCTGCACAAACACTGAGTACCCAGGGAGTAAAACCTGCGAGCTCCAGCATTCCCAGGGACCTTCCGAAAGACTGCCAGGGCTGCGTCTCAGCGCAGCTCACAGGCAGAACAAAGCCAGGAGCCCCCACGGCTCCACCGAGCGCCCCCGACCCGCCGCCGCCGCCCGGCCCGGGATGCTTGGAGCCGCTCCGAGCCCCGGCACCGCACCGAGTCCGCCCGGCGGGGCCGACCGCAACCTCCAGCCCTCCGCCCAGCCCGGCTCCACCGACCCGGCGGCGGCACCGCCCGCCTCCCCCGGCCCGCACGTCCTCACTCACTGCGGCCGAGCCCCGGGGGAAGCGCTGGCGGCGAGGCCCGGCCCGGCCGGGTCTGAGGGGGGCCTGAGGGCCGCGACCCCTCCTTGCTCCGCCCGGGCAGCTGTGGGCGCACGGCGCGGCCGCGGAGCCTCGCCGGGGGCGGGGACGGGCACGGGCGGGCGGGGCGGGGACGGGACGGGCGGGGCGAGGACGGGACGGGCGGGACCCGGCTGCGAACCGGGACCTGAGAGCGCCGAACCCGCCCGAGCCCGGGCCGGCAGCCCGCCCCTCCGCCGGAGCGGGTCGGCGCGGGTGCTGCGCCACGGCCGGCACCGCCGGGCTGGGCGTGAGGGCCCGGCTCGTGCTGCGGAACGAGCCCCGCCGCGGGCCCGGCCCCGCTCCAGCCACGGAAACCGCGGAGCAGCGGCCAGGCTGACACGGACACGAGAGAGGTGCAGCTGCAGGCAGCAGCGCATCCACGCGTGCCAGGGAGAAATGACGCTGCTCCAGCGCTGGAGGAGCTGGAAGGCCACTGGGAAGCATCACAGCCACTGGGAAGCATCACAGCTTCTTCCACACAGAGCCGGGGATGCAGCGGTCCCGTGGAGGGTTCTGCTGGAGCACGTGGGACTGGCCGGAGTCTGCTTCACGGCCCCTGTTTCATCCCAAGCTGCTGGTTTTGCCGGGGCTGGAAGGGCTAGTTTTGATCTGAGCTGTGAGATTTTAAGTACACCTTGCAAGGGTTACGCCTTGCAAAGAAAGTTTTATAAATCAATTTCACCTTGACTCAGCCACACCAAATCATAGTTGGTTGGGACATCTGACAGGCACTGGTCTTATACCTGCTTCAGCATCCTGCTTGAGGGAATAACAGTGCCAATAAGCAGGTTCAAATGACAGCTGCCACTATATCACATCACAGTACCATGGGTTTTGACTTACACAGTCTTAGGGGCTGCTCGTGCTTCATAATCTTCCAGTGGAAGCTGGACATCACCATTTACTGGAACTCTTTGATCCGGTTTGCATTCCCAGTAGAGTGACTTTAAATGGTGACGGTATATGAAGGAATCTAATAGAGGAGAAATAAGGATCATACAAAGGAGTCCTCCTTGGCAATGTTCAGGGTAAATTATTACACTTTAAAAGCAATTGTTATCTATTTCCCAACTGCAAAGAAAACAGCAGCAGTGTATGAGTTGTTATTGGATCATCATATATACTCACCAAATTCATCAAGTCTTTCATGATTAAATGGTGGAACAACCAAGTTCATGACTAAGTAGTACAAGAGTCATATAAGCCATAAAGCTACAATCCAGCATAAAAGTAAGCTATGGTTTTTCATCAGCTTAAGTGACCCAGAAATCTGAGAAAGACAACTTTGCCCTTCCAAATCTTTGGTGGAGGAATGAGAGGAACTTCCCTAGTTGCCCTTGTCCCAGAATGCAAGGAAGAGTTAATCTTAGAAATGAGGAGCAGTTTCTTCTCCAAATACGACATTTTTTTTCACACAGTAGGTCCCTGGGACAAACTGAAGCCAGTGGAAGAGACATTTTCATCACTGTCTGTTTGCTGTTAAGCCGTTTTATAAAATCTAAACCAAATTATTAAAACACAATTATGTATCGTGCAAAGGAACCTGAGTTAGATCTTGGATCCAAGTGTTACAGAATTACTACTGAGCCATACTTTTTTGGTAGGAACAGGTATCTGAATTGGTCATCAGAAGCCCCAAATACATTCATTTGCAAAGCAAAAAATGCACAGGTTACATTCTCTCTGGAAGTTTTCCAAAAGCTTTGCTTTAAAAACTACAAGTAAACAAAAACCCAAGAGAAATTGGTACTTACAATGAACTTTAGTGATGACTACAGGATCATAGCTAGAGCTGAATGAGCTCTGTACTTCACAGCTCTGCTGGCTTCCATCAAAACTAGCATGGGCACTAAACTTCTTTTAGGAACCTCTTATGGGATCAGAGCCTCACTTTGCTGGATTAATTTGTGATTATGCTAGGTAAGTGAAATACCATCCCAATATGGTATCTTGGTGTAAGAAATATTTCACAGCAGGAAAAAACACCAAAGATTTCAAATAAATGAAATGGAGTCACATCAGTCAGAATATTATGCTACCAGTCACATGAATCCAGCTGCATTAGAAAAAAAATTCATCACTAGCAAAATCTTCCTGCTTGGGTGTAATCTGTGTACTTACACTTCTTGCTAGTGTAAGGGCAAGAGATGCTGGGCAGAGTTTAGTCCAGCAGAACTACACTGGAAACAGTTCTAACATGGAGAAAATAGTTCAGAGAAAGCATCAACTGATTTTCTTGCTCCCTGTCAGTACCACACAGATATAGATGCATTAGGAAGCAGACTAGGAGTGCTAGAAACTGTAGTCAGCCCCAACTCCCAGGACAGCAAAACTGCCTGGTGGAGAGCTATCTCTACATAGGAACCAAGCATTAATTCGTCCCCTGCCAACCGTGTTAATGATCAGGGCAGCCTGAGTGGCAGCAGGAAAGTCCAGGGTCAGCAGTGAGAACATCTATAGAAATCATACTGGGCTGGGCTGCCAAGCTCAAGGCAGGTCTTCAAGAAAGAGTTTGTAGGGCTTTGGGAAATGAAGGGTGATAGCTGGTTGTGAATTTTTTTTTCCTAAGCAGTTCCCAATTATCAAAACAAAGGCAAACCTCTTGCCTCCTGAAGTAAAAGCTGCATAACAAAGTTGTGGATGGAAGGAAATTCACACCAGAACAAGCACAGGAAGCCACAGAGCTGCAGGAAGAAGTTAATAGAGAAAGGCTGATGTCCTCATACTAGGTAAAGGCTGTAGAAGAGTGCCATCTCACACTGCGGAAGAATATGACTGCCATGGTGGCCTTGGTTAAGCTTTACCATGCCCACTCCAGGCAACTTCATTCCACAGGTATTACTGGAGGCAGATATTTCCCTCCATCTGCAGGAACAAAAACTCACTACCAGTCATCTTTGTAAACTCTTGAAGTAAAAGCAGAGACAGCTCAGTTTTTACCAGCTGGTTACAATTAATATAAGGCCGGATTTACTTTATTGGACACAGTTACAGTGTTTGTGTGCACACTTGTTCTACATGTCCCTACTGCTGCATCTAGGGATTGTTATCAGGGAAGCTGAAGATGGGAAGCTCAAGAGGTGTCAAGACGAACTATAAACACAACATTTTAAACAGGGCTTACAGTACAAAAATACAGTCACAATGAGTGGAAAAGAGAACCCACTGAGGCAACCAAGGCAGAAGTGATTAAATAATTTTCTCAACTGTAGGACTCCTGAGATAAAAACCTCTAACTTCTAGTTCTTAAGGCCTTTAGTTTCCTCCAGCCTGAATAGCTTAGAAGTTTGATGCTTGTCTCAGGCTTCTTCCCTTCTCTAACCACAAAGTAATTAACACTTTAGCATAGAAGCCTTTCTATTGTTTCTTGGCTAGTGAAACTGTTCACTACAGAAGGTTTTTTTTTTTTTCATTTGAAAAGGACAAATCTCTGATTAAGGATGCCTTCAAGCAATTCTGTCTTGGTTTTTGCTATCAGTCAAAGATAATACAATTATTTAGGAACAGAGTGGAATTTTGATTTGCAAAGGGATAATAATTTGTTTTTCTATAGTGTCTTTTATCCAAGAATACCAAATGCTTCATTAATGTTAATTCTGTTCTGTCATAGCATCTAGCTGAGATGCTGACAACTATTTTACAAAATAGCTGCAATACCTAAAACATAAAAATGAAGGAAAACGAACGAATAGCTAAAACATCAAGATGAACAAGCATCAAAATGAAGGTTACTTACAATAAAAGAGGTGGTACGAGCTGCTGAAGGGTATGTAGCAAATCCGTGGTATGTGGTATGTACCATGGATGTGTCTGAGACGTTCTATATTGCATCTCCTATTGCTTCTCAGAGGTTCAAGAACTTGCCAGTGTCAAGCTATCTCCAGGTGTCCTGGTAAGTTAAACATAAGTACAGCAGTAGACGGCTGCCACCACGGCTTCAGCACAAACAGGTTTGAACATTAGAACCACTTTTTGTTTTGGAGTTGTTTTAGCCAACATTGGAGGATATATGAAATAAATCAAAAGTTTCAACTTGACAGCCAGCAAGAAAGGAAAAGAAACTACAGTTCAGCTGACATTTCAAAACCCAGCATCTTTGATGATGCAATTCAGTGCAGTGTCAGCCTGAGCAAAGCCACTTGTAACAGCACTGTAGTACTCTGCAGAGATGCTGGTTGGTGTCTCTGCTCTTTCTGCACATCTCTGCTTCAACCACTCAGTGAAGTCTGGCAGGGGCCCAGAGCCACAAACCCACCATCCCAGACAGGAGATCACTGTGAACCACAGTGGGGAGAGAGATCCTCCTGTGTTCGAGCTTGTCTAAACTAACCGGTATTGGGTCATTTTTGAGTGAAGTATTCTTCACGAAGACCTGAAATTTTTGATCCTGGTCAGTGAGGCTGCCTTGAGAATATGCAATGCACCTGAGGGCTGAAAATGCTTGTCCAGAATGCCAGGGACCCAAAGTCCTGCTTTGATTCAACTGCTGGATTTACAGGCAGGTCTCACACAGCATCTGTAGGAACAAAACTACAACAGTGATTGGCTGCTTGAGGGAGGATCCATCTCTGTCTTTTCTTTGCAACTATTAATTTTGGTGTGAATTGTTCACTGTGAACTGGGCAAAGAAACGGGCTCTTTCCCCGTGACCTTCCTGTTGGATATGAGAAAACTGCACAGTGAATCCTGTGAGTCCCTAGCACAAGAGCCACCAGCAAAAGGAATCTACCAAAGCAGCTATTGTTGCCCTCTCACCCCATTCCCACCCATACTGGCAGGGCCTGTGGAGAGAGGGACAATTTTCCTCACCCTGCAGTAGGGCTGCACACACCTCTGTCCCCTGGTCCTTTCATTTCTCAAACCTCCCTCGTGTTCCACACTGTCCCTGCCTCTCCCTGGTCAGCAGGTGCCGGCACTCTGCCAGCAAGGACACTGTCTTGAGCAGGGCAGCTCTAATAAAAACAAACAAATAAACCAAAACCAACCAACCAATCGACCAAACAGCAACAAAATAAACCAAATCAAACCAAACAGAAAATAATAATTTGAATTTTGAAGTCTTGCAGGAGGTAAAACCTGTTTCTGCAGTGCTCTGCTGCACAAACTGATACAAGTAGTTTTTTGCTGTCATGCTCATGCCCTTCCAAATCAGGTCCAGGTTTGGAATTGCTTATAGGATTTTTCTGGGCATCTTTCTAAGATTTTAGGTGATTAATAAATTTGGCCTGCTCTTGGCCTTGCTACTAAGGGGTTGCCACATTTCATGCCAGTGTTGGCTACATTTCCCTGATTACAAAAAGGGATTCTTACATCTCATATCATTAAAAGTTTAAGTGCTAGTGGTCTCTTTGGCTAAAGAGCCCACATTCATCACTTGCAGGGATTTCAACTTTCTACAAAAAATACTTTAATTTTAATATTTTTCATTTTATATTTTTGATTCGTTTTTTGAACAATTTGTTTATTGCTGCTGAGGCTCTTCATTAAGGAAATTGGTTTTCTTTTTTAAGTACTGTTTTTAATACCCCGAAGAACAAACCTACAGTAGCCCTATATAATAGATTTTAAATACTAATACCAGTGCACTAGTAATGGTGTAGGCAAAGATAATATCTTCTTTAAAATCCATTCACCAAAATTACCTTAATAAATAACGTTATTACTCTGATACTAGAGTAAAAGCAATGATATAATAAAACCTTACATATTTGCTGTTAGTTAAAACAATTCTTTAAAAAAATTACCATAAAAGATCTACAGTTGAAAATAAAAGTATATGGGATATACTGTTGAAGTCTTTCTGTAAGACTTCAACAGTATATCCCATGTATTTGTCTTAGAACAGACACTACTTTTTCCAAATTAAAAAAAACCCAGTGTTTGATCTCTCAATGTATCCAGACATATTTGATCTCTGTATCCAGACATATTGCTCCCATAATAACTGACTGCCCAGAACTGTTCAGATGTGTTGTACCTCATTTATCCTTTGGATAACACTTGTTTGCAGCAGCACCTGTAGCTGACCTTTCTCCAACAGCAAATATAAATCTTATATATTTGAAGGTTAGAAATTTTTTGAGCTAAAGCTGCTGGCATCTACTGGCTCCATAAAGGAGTGAGGCATCAACGCAGACACCTTGGAACAACCCACTGTGAGGGAGAGGAGCAATAATGGAAGGCACAGAAAATTCCACTTGTTCATGAACATTACTTCCTTCAGGAAGGAGCTGAAGACTTGGGATGTTTTAAAAAACCAAACATCAATAGGTAGCTTAATATTCCATCAAGATCCAAAGTGGGTAGGCTTTATATTTTCAGAAGGCCAAGTCATATCTGTTATGAACAAAACAGCCTGGCTGGGACACTTGGCTTGGGCTGAGTACTGACATTGAAATGTTAATTAGCTAATTGTTCCTGGGAATCACCTACCTCCCCCACCCTCACTACCATTCTAGGACTGGGATGCAAAATAATCCAGTGGAATCATGGGAGGGGGTTTTGGGGATGAAAAACACCCCTAAATGGAAAAGATGGGCACAGTGGAGGGGGCTGGATGGGTGTGCTGGTTGGGGAAAAGGGAACCCCATCCCTAGTCTGTGTTTGACCTGTCACCATAACCTACAGAGGACCAGAGTGGACTGGGCTGTGGGAAGCAGGAGCAAAGCAGTGACACTTCCTGGTGCTGCCAGGAGGGAAGGAGAGGGACAGCTGCTGCTGAGCTTTGGCAGCAGGCTCTGCACATCCCCTCACCCTGCGGCCACCCGTGTGCCGAGAGGAAAGGAGGGAGGACGGTCTGCTGGGACTTCAGATACGGACTGCACACCTCTTCACCTCCAGCTACCAGCGTGCCACGGAGACTCCAGGGACAGACCCTGCACCCCTGCTCACCCTTCGGCTACCGGAGAAGCTACAACAGCGGGGGCGAGCTCCTCGTTGAGCCCCCTGCCGAGACTCCAGAGACAGACTCTGCACCCCTGCTCACCCTTCGGCTACCGGAGAAGCTACAACAGCGGGGGTGAGCTCCTCGTTGAACCCCCTGCCGAGCTGACTAATAATAAAGGCATAGACCCTGTTCATTTCACAGAGGAAAGAAGCTCTAATGAGTCTTTAGAACACACCTTGCTTTTGTGTGAGTGGCAGGTACAACACATGCCCGAGGCCTGGGTACAGGATTCCCACCATAGGAGAAGGTGGGAGCCAGCAGATGCCCTGCACTTGCTCCTTCCTACCTCATTCATCTCTGGCTGTTGCTCTTGGGATGCTTTTCTACCTCATTTTTCTTGGATGCTCCATGCAGTGAACTCCCAGCTGCTCCTCGAGGGCAGCTTTTCAAATCAGTACCTTTCACTTCTTTCCTTGGGGGCTTCTGAATGTCTGTGATTTGCAGGGGTCCACCCAAAGGTACAAACACAAAGGCCATCCTCCTGGGAGATGGGTTTTCATTCAGCATGCAGGAGGCTGCAGAGTCAGTCACTTGGAAGATGTTTCAATTGCAAAGCTAAAAGGAGGTTGAAAAACCCAGATTAGATAAGAACAGGAAGGTTATACTTGTAATTGTGTATGTTTTGGCTGCTGGTAATGGTCATGTTATGGAGCAAAGGCCTTCTCCAATGAAATCAAATTACACAGGCAGCATTTCTGATGACACACATGCCTTTCCTTCAGTTATTTGGATAGGTTGTTCATTTTTCTGTACTGATAAGCATGTTTGTCTTTTAAATTTCTTTGAACTTCTCAGATATCAGCACAAAAAAAAAAAATGCCCTATTAACTGTACCTTGCTCCACCATCAAGGATGTTTCTCTCACAGAGCTGTTCTTTGCAAACGTGCTGATGTTTTGACTGGGAAGCTGAGTTGTTCATGACACCTAAGTTGTCCTTTAGGCAGGAATGCTATATTCCTATCTATGTACGTACTTATCTGCATGGATATTGAAATGAACAGGGTCTATGCCTTTATTACTAGTCAGCTCGGCAGGGGGCTCAACGAGGAGCTCGCCCCCGCTGTTGTAGCTTCTCCGGTAGCCGAAGGGTGAGCAGGGGTGCAGGGTCTGTCCCTGGAGTCTCCGTGGCACGCTGGTAGCTGGAGGTGAAGAGGTGTGCAGTCCGTATCTGAAGTCCCAGCAGACCGTCCTCCCTCCTTTCCTCCCGGCACACTGGTGGCCGCAGGGTGAGGGGATGTGCAGAGCCTGCTGCCGAAGCCCAGCAGCAGTTGTCCCTCTCCTTCCCTCCTGGCAGCACCAGGAAGTGTCACTGCTTTGCTCCTGCTTCCCACAGCCCAGTCCACTCTGGTCCTCTGTAGGTTATGGTGACAGGTCAAACACAGACTAGGGATGGGGTTCCCTTTTCCCCAACCAGCACACCCATCCAGCCCCCTCCACTGTGCCCATCTTTTCCATTTAGGGGTGTTTTTCATCCCCAAAACCCCCTCCCATGATTCCACTGGATTATTTTGCATCCCAGTCCTAGAATGGTAGTGAGGGTGGGGGAGGTAGGTGATTCCCAGGAACAATTAGCTAATTAACATTTCAATGTCAGTACTTAACTTAGCCCAAGCCAAGTGTCCCAGCCAGGCTGTTTTGTTCATAACACTCTGCACTAGAGATGTTATCTATACCACGTGCTGCTCTAATAAATACCTTTGTTTAATGAATAATATGTAGGGGAAGATTCCGTGATGTAGAAGGCTGGTTAGAACAGCTGCAAATCCACTGAAGAGTTTCAAAGTGATTTTTTTAACATTTTTCAAGTTCAGCTGTGTATTTGTAATGTTGTATTTTTTTTCCCTGTGGGAAGTACTATTTTCCCTTTACTGTAGTTCTTTCTCACAGTGAAAGACTGTTCATGCCCCAAGAGATGCCAGGGGAACAGAGATGGAGAGGGGAAAAGCCATACAAGGAAAGGTTCACATACTTAATGTGACCACTTCTCCAAGCACTTGCCAGTGCCCTCTACCCCTCAGGACAGAGGAAAGCATAACCCACCCCAAAATATTGCAAAATGAGAAGAAACATTTTGGGGTTCTCAGTGTTTGAGGTGTATAATATGTGATGGAGTAGATCATTAGATGCCAATTGCTGTGCAAAGATCAAGGCCCTCAGAGCAGATCTGCAGAGACCAGGCACAGAGGATGGAAAAGTAATTTATCTTTATGGTGAGCTGATGATTCAGTCCCATGATTTTCCAAAACTTTTGGTAGTAGGAGAACAAAACATCAGTCTGGTCAGGTTGCTAATTAATTTTATGAAAATCACCAGATTGTGTGATGGAGTTCCAGACCAGAACTAGCTTTTATACAAATCTGTTGACCTTTTCTTTCACAGGGAGTTCCTCAAAGACAACCTAGAAGGTGTTCAAATTTAGTCTTCCCTACACCAAAAACCTGACTTGTTGTCTTTTTAGATCAGACAATGACAAGTGTTCTAGGAGTCACTTGGACAGAGGAATAATTTATGAGGTTTATGAACAAATCCCTATCCATTGTGTCCTAGAAAAGCAGACCATTGCTTTCAAGCTGTCTTTTAGGGGTTTTTGGTGGGTTGCAGGTATGCACACTCAGCTCTCTTAAGACATTTTCTCTTACATAAGCAGAGCTTGGAGTGTGCTCACAGCTTTGCTCAGCAGCCTTTCATTTCCCCACTGTGCTACAAATTGCTGCTTTGCTGCTGCTTCCTCTGGTTCACCCCAGGACCCAAATATCTCTCTCCCTTGGCCAGATTCAATTGCCCCCTAAGGGAAGGAGTATCCTTTCTTTTTTCAGAGACCTCTTTACACACCTACTCTCCTCTTGCAGAGAGATAACCTACAAAGCCAGAACAATCAAAATACATACTGTCTGTCACACAGAAGTGTCACTCTTAGCCAGCAGATGCAATAATATTTGTTACTCACTGATCACCACATGATCCGGCGGCATGATTTGACTTTCCAGCCTTTGCTTGTGGCAGCTTCCAGGACCAGCAGGAGCACAAAAACTCACTCTGCAGTCTCGTTAATACCCATAGGCAGCCAGAGGAGGGTGTGCAGAGGGGATCAGCCACCAAGGCTACAGGGCAGGAACAAGTGATATGCTACAGATGAAGATGAAAAGAGAGGACATCATCAGATCCTCCCACAAGCTAGACTTAATGCATCTGAAGAGGAATTTGCAGCATCCCAAGCTTGGAAAAAGGGCATTTCTAAAGAAAGCCACTTGCTTTGACAGTATTTTAGGGGTGGTGGGTGTTAGATTCAGTGTTGAGACATTGAATTTGTCAAAAGATTGGGAAGATGCTTCAGCCAAGAAGCCCCAAATATCTGTTTGGAACAGACTCCTTTTTCAGATCTGATGGAAGATATCAAAGGAGTAAACTTTAAAATGGTATCACTGTATCTGCTGCCAGTAAATGTTCTGGGAGTGTGCTATAAAACTAAAACTAGACTTACTCTATTAGACCTTATTTTCTGTCACAGTAGGCATCAGACAGGGCTGCAGAATCCCACAACAGGATAATCCTCATTTTTTCAGAAGGTTCCACAAATGTATAGTCAGTCATTGTGTGTGTATGTGCTATGCATGCCAAAATAATTGTCAGCAAAAGCCTGATGACTGAAGAAGTAAAGAACAATCACTTCCTTGTTCTGCTAGCAGTTCAGGATTTCAGTACTCAACATTTTTTCCAGAAAGCACCTTCATTTAACTTATGCTGTACTTGTGCATGAGAAAATAATTGCTACACAGGAATCCACATCTCAACTATAATATGGAGGTCTCTGGAGCACCACCACGATAAGTGCAAAGTGGGTCAAAGCTCTGCCACTTGTACAAGCACTGTGTTGTCTGATGACCAGAGTAGTCAGGAATTATCTCATCTGTCGTCCCCATAAAAAAAAAAAAACAAAAACCAAAAAAACCCCAACAACAAAAAACAAAACCAAAAAAAAAACCCCACAAAACATTGTACATAAAAAGATTTTTCTGCCTAGGGGAAAAGGTTCTTACTCAGCTGTAAAGACGTTTATTTGTATTCCATGGACAGATTCAAGCGAGATCTCTGTGGTTGCTCTTGGGGGATGAAGTTTATTCAGGACGCAGAGAGGCTCTGCCTCGAGCTGCCAGACACAGCACGTGGCTGGGCCTAAGGTGATGGGGGAGGGGAGAGACAAAGAGGGGAGCAGGGACTCCCAGAGGACGCTCCAGGAGGAGAGGGGAAGATCCAAGAGAACGTCCAGCCCCCCGGAGAGCCTTTATCAAAGGGGGCTCCAGGGTGGGCTGGAACAGGACCTGGGCCAATGGGGTCACAGGCACCTGATGGTTCAGGGGAGGGTTACAGATGTGGGGTGAACCATACATTCTGGGGGGTGAGATGGAACAATCCATTTGGCTTTTGGACCCCGCTGTAGGTGAGGGTAACTGTCCAGCCAGTAGGGGGCATCACACTCGTCCTGGCTGTACCATTGTGGTTCTTAATCATATTTATCTACCCTTTCCAACATCTCCCCTGTTTTCACTGAACCATTTGAAATATTAAATATTGACTTAACAACTATTTTTTGCACACTTGGAAGTGTACAGGGTATTGTTATTAGAACTATACTTATTACTACTGAAACAGTCAAGCTTATTTTACAGAGTTCCTTTAGCTAAGGTGCAAGGCTCAAACCATTAAGTAAACTGTATAGCTGAGATGACCTTATTATTATTAAATCACTGATTATAGTAGGGGAGGCATTGTCAGAATTTTTTGGAAAAGGTCTTATAATTAAATGGGTTGAAAAAGGTTTGTTAGGGTTTGTGTTAGATATATAGGTGGTCTTAGAGCTTGCAGGCTTGGCTAAAGCTACTCGGCATTTGTCCTTGGTTGAATTACAAGTAAAACTTCAATACAAAAACTGAAACAGAAGAACAAAAACAACATGCATGCATTAAACAATAAGAAGTCCATTTTTCTCTCGATGATGCAGCGTGGTTCAGGTCTGGGTGCTGGCTTCTTGGCTTGTACTTGCAGAAGTACTGTCTGGTGTGGGGGTGCCAGCGGATTTCGGTGCATGGTAAGGCTTCACATTCTTTCCTGGGACCCACTTAAGTCGTCCACCTGTGGAAACACAAGAGAAACCTTTTCCCCCCATTAGAAGACTGTGTGGACCTTGTATATGTTCTGAATCTAAGATTTTGAGTAAAGCTGGGGGGTGCCCTTTTATTTTTACTTTTTTGGTGTTCAGGAAATGTCTATAAATTTGGAGGCGAGGCTCTCCTGCAGAGCTACTTAGAAAATTGTGAGCATATAAAGCCTTATTCAACCTCTTTTGAGGTGTAGCCTGATCTACCCCCCCTTTCTTTAGATTTAAGATGCGTTTTAGGGTTTGGCATGTTTTTTCTATCGTACCTTTTAACAGTGGTTTAAAATAGGAAAAGGAGATACCACTGTCCTTGAGTACTGTCAGGACTTCTTTCACCTCCTGAGAGGGGACAGCTGTTCGCTGGCTGAATACGACTTGCATTGCTTGGGGATGCAGACTGTCGTCTTTGCAGGTATCACATTTGATTTCAGGGCAGTTTGTCAGTTGAAGATTGTTAGCACTGTGCTGAGAATTTGGTGAGATGTGGATAGAAAGTTTAGGGTTTGCAGGGGTAAGATAGTTCTCTGTCTGTCCTTTGTTTGTAGAAGCTGCAGTCACGTTGTTGCGTTCACCTTGTCGAGGCATAGTGTCTCCGTCAGGGTGCAGTGAGGAGCTGCTAGTGTGGGAGGCAGGGGCTGCTGCCAGCTGAGGCAGAGGAGCAGGAGGGGTGGAGGTCGTCGGCAGCAGCACTTGTGGGGGACTGGCATTTTCGGAAGGATTTCTTGTAGCTGTGGCTTTGGGTGCTGTGGCAGTCTGTAGATCCGGCGGAGGGAGGGATGCGGAGGGATATGATGGTGTTTTCGGCAAACCAGGAAGTGGTGCCGGCGGCGGGGGGTTCCGGGGCTTTGTAGCCAGAGGCAGGGGCTGCGGCGTCGCGGGGGGGTGGGGACGCCGGGTTTGCGTCTGCCGGGGGGGCCGGCCGCGAGTGCAGGAGGCGGGCGGGCAGCGGGGGTACGGCGCTGGGTGCCGGGACTTCTCTGGGAAGGATGGGTGGTGCGGCGGCCGCGGGGGCGGGGTCCGGGCCGCGCGAGAGGGAGGCGGCGGCCGCGGGGGCGGGGTCAGGGCCGCGCAAGAGAGAGGAGGGCGTGGCCGCGGGGGTGGGAGCCGCCCAGCCCAGGGCCGGCGCCTGGGAGGCATGTTCGGCGGACCAGGGGGCTTCCGGGCGGGTCAGTGGGGTGGCCGCGGAGGCGAGCGTATGCAGCGCCTGCAAAATCGCAGCTGACGTTTAAGATTGTGCTTGCAAAATAGCCATTGATTGGGTTTGTGCTTGCAAAATGGCTGTTGTTTGATTTTGTAAAAGTTCGGCTATAGTAGCCACCATAGCCGGGACAAGCAATGCTGGGGGGGCGGACGGGGGGGAGGCGGGGCCCGGGGAGTAGTTTGGGGGGGAGGAGGTGGCTGCAAGGGCGGGTTCTGGGTTGCGGGGGAGGGGGGGCGCGGCTGCGGCAGGGAGCGCCGCTCGCTCAGAAACCGCTGAGTCGCCAGCAGCTTCGCCGGCTTTTCGCCGCAGCGCGGGGTGGGGGGGCGGTCCGGCGGGGATAGTTGAGCCACGGCAGGGAGCGGTTTGGCTGCTATCAGCGGCTTTTGAGAAGCGCAGAGCTCTGCTAACACTCTATAAGCAGGAAGTAACTCGCAAGCATAGGGGTCCCGCCGTGAAATGTCATTAAAAAGTGTATGCCCCACGGACTCCCAAAAGTCTCCACAAAACACAGCAGAGCGCTCGGCATTTGGGAACTTAAGTAAGATCCATTCTAGGAGTTTCCGTAGCTATTTTTTAGGCAAATTACTGTTATGGCTACGTAAGAAGTGGTTAAGTTGCTTATAGAGATCTCGATCAGATGTAGAGTGGGATTGTCCCATTTTTAAACCAGTGTGGCTCACCTCGGTGTCGCAGGAGCGGGGTCCTCAGTTAGGTTCCGACGTTTACTGCAGTCGGTGCTGAGGGCTCTCCGCGGGGGTTTCTTCAGAGCTCCGCTTTCGGTGGTCACTTAGGGACGGCTTCCGGTGCTCGGTAGCTACAAACCCCCCTCAGGGCTTCAGCGCGGGCAGTGCTAAGCAGTGCTCGCCTGTGCTTTGTGCACGTGGCTGCGTGCCGCGGCAAGTCTCCTCACAAAGCCTTGGGTCGCCGCGGAATCGTGGCGATCGCCTGTGCTCGGAGAATAAGGCTTCGGGACTTTTTAAAGAGCTCCGGCCTCTTCACTGCCTAGCAGCAAAATGCCGTGCTCGCGACCGCGATGGCGAGGAAATACCTGGTTATTTAGTTAGTGTCCATGGAAAGGTGTCCTACAGGTAGAAAAGCTGGAAAGCGTCCAGACGGGTGCAGTTGCAGGTCACCGTGGGTTCGTATTCGAAGTTGGGCGCCAGTCTGTAAAGACGTTTATTTGTATTCCATGGACAGATTCAAGCGAGATCTCTTTGGTTGCTCTTGGGGGATGAAGTTTATTCAGGACGCAGAGAGGCTCTGCCTTGAGCTGCCAGACACAGCACGTGGCTGGGCCTCGGGTGATGGGGGAGGGGAGAGACAAAGAGGGGAGCAGGGACTCCCGGAGGACGCTCCAGGAGGAGAGGGGAAGATCCAAGAGAACGTCCAGCCCCCCGGAGAGCCTTTATCAAAGGGGGCTCCAGGGTGGGCTGGAACAGGACCTGGGCCAATGGGGTCACAGGCACCTGATGGTTCAGGGGAGGGTTACAGATGTGGGGTGAACCATACATTCTGGGGGGTGAGATGGAACAATCCATTTGGCTTTTGGACCCCGCTGTAGGTGAGGGTAACTGTCCAGCCAGTAGGGGGCGTCACACTCGTCCTGGCTGTACCATTGTGGTTCTTAATCATATTTATCTACCCTTTCCAACACTCAGCCCCAGCAGTGCAATTTCTGCAAGGTGCTCCCCCAGCAGTCAAGAGTCTTTGCACACTGAGGAGGCTCCTTCTGCAGTCCGTGGAGAGAGCGTGCTACAGCTGTGTGTAAGCCAGGCAAGGTCAGCGACAGCTGAAGAGAAGCCCCTGAAGCAGCCAGGCAAAAGCTGCCCAGTTCCCTGGGATGGTGTGTGATGACAAAGGGACACCGAAGGATAAAGCCTATGGATTCTTGCAGGAAAAGTCTTCACACCATAGCACTACCTCCACAAGCTGTCACTTCTCAATATTTATTTCTCCTGTGCAGGCACATTATTAATGCAGGCAGTGAGCTCCTGGGACTACCAAAGTGCTGTCACCTTCTGCCTCTGTGCTCATGTAATCCACCGTGCCTCCCGTGGGGTGCAGCTTTCCACGGGAGGGCTTGTGGCTGTATTTTTAAAGATGCAGTTGACTCTCTACTGGCCCAGAGCGAGAAACCCTGTAACTAAAACACACCCAAAATTGGTTGGAACCAGGGGCTTTGTGAGTTCCACTCATCTTGCTAGCTTTTTCCCCCAAAACCACTAAATTAATTAAGAAAGTAAGGCAAAAAGCCTCAGCATCACACAACCACGCTGCAGAAAATTATTCCTCACTCAGCAAAAGAAGGAAAGTGAGTAAAACAATGCAAGTAATTTATATAATTCCACTTGCTTTTCAAAGGCTGTGTTAGCATGCTACAATTATTCATTTTTAACTGTATCTCACTACTGGCATGGATTCTGTGAACTGTCTGGCTGAGGCACCGCTGGCCCCTGATATCCTCCCCAACCCTGCAGAGACCCTGCACAAAATCTCATTACAATGTGTATAACTTTAGTAATAAAGAAATTGCTTACCCACAATGGCATCAGAGCTGGAACAATGAGCTGGAACAATCCTGTGTGGA